TTCCATTCCATTCCATTCCATTCCATTCCATTCCATTCCATTCCATTCCATTCCTCACCACCCTAGATGGTCATTTATTCATCAATTTCAAACAACCTTTGAGCCACTGCGTGATGGGGTGACAGAGAAGCAGTGTTGGTTGGGGCTCAAATCTGGCTGCATGAGGCACTTTGGATGATAAGACTTACTGACAGCTGGGAATTATCCGGGCAGAGCAGGGGCTGCTGCCTTCTCACAGCACTGCTGCTTATGGCTGTGAAGATCAGCAGAGGCGGACAAGCAGCTTTGTCTTGGTCGGACTGGAGGAGCCGACCTCACACACCAAGAACAGCAGTGCCTGCATATAAAGGCTGAAGTACCCACAGCATCCCAGGAAAACGGGCTGGAGTTCTGAGAAGCAATGCACATACTGTGCCAGCCTCCTGAGCATGAGTGCTGTAAATGGGGTTGGGGTCTCTGGTGGTTGGATGAAGGCTTGCAGTCACCGTCACTGTGAACCTCCAACCTTTTGGTGGGGGCAGCCCAAACAACACGGCACTGGAGTTGTGTTCAGTTCAGGCATCTGCTTTGCTGCCATACCTTCAACAGCAGGGCATCTATTGCTCTTTCTTTGGCTGTGCTCCTCCTGGTAGCCGCAGTCCTGGTGGACATGAGAGAGCCCTGAGCTCTACACCTTCCCACTGCTCTCCTGCACGTGGACAGCAGGGCAGCGACGTGCCAACGCATCTCATGGAAACTGCAGATGCTGCTTTCCTGCTCCTGATGCTTTTGGATGTGGAACAGCAGCAGGGAACGGTCCAAGGCTCTTCCCAAATCATGAAAGCATTGCTTTTATTGCATTTATTTACCAGCCCTGTGCACGCAGCTCACCAGGCAGTCACTTTAATGAAGCCCCCCTGCCCCACCAGGAGCCCCACACACAGCATCCAATGGGGCAGCCCTCGGCCCCACACTGTTGGGCTCACACCCGTCACGAGTTCTGCTCGGTCTCAGCCCGTTTCCCCACCCTCGTCGCTGGGGGGAGCCCATTTCAGCTCCCTCACGTCCACGCCGAATGGGCTGAGCAGCACGCAGGTGAAGTTGGTCTTCAGATCCTGGAAGCTGAAAGAGTTGAAATGCAGATCCCGACGGAGGATCACCAGCGAACCACGCTCTTCCTCTCTGCGGGACGAAGGCTTCGGTCAGCCCCGCGTCCCTCCCCTCGTTCGGGGTGGTGGTGGAGGAGGGGAGGACGGGGGGGGTGGGCTTGCGTTGGGGTTGAGCTGCTCACCGCACCGCCCCTTCGCGCACGTTGGGCTGCAGCTGCTCCACGAACGAGCCGTTTGCCAACCAGTAGAGCAGCGTCAGCTCCGGGTGAGCGCTCTCAGCCTCGCAGGAGACGCTCACGTTGCTGCCTGGATGGGGTTGAAGGGGAGATGGGCTCACACCTTGGAGGGGGAGGGAAGGCGGGGGACAGCCGCAAAACGTCCCCACTTCACCCATCGCACCCCCACGGGGATCCCCGCATCCCGTCCGCTCCCCTCCGGCCCTCAGCCGTAGCGGGGTGCTGCTGATATCATTCCCTTTTCTCCCTCCCATCTCCACCAAGGGTGGGGGGGGGCTCAGATCAGCCCCCCAGCATTCAACTCACCCATGTGGGGGGGCTGCGCCGGGATCCTCAGCCGGGTGATGCGGGGGGGCTGTGGGGCCATGGCTGC